ACGACAAGGTGCAGTTAGCCTTACTGACCGCTTCCTCGCATTGGCAGCTCATGTCCATCCTGGAGTCAACAATGACTCCAAGATCCCTTTCAGCCACTGTGTTGTTGAGAAGGGTGTTCCCCAGCCTATAGGTGTGTTGCAGGTTCTTTCTCTCTAGATGCAGCACCTTGCGCTTATCTGCATTGAATTCCATCCTATTCTCATCTGCCCACCTCTGTAACCTGTCTAGATGTAGTTGGATTCTGTCCCTCCCCTCCAGTGTGCCTACTTCTCCCCACATCTTTGTGTCATCAGATTTGGACAGTGTGCTTTCCATGCCCAGCTCCAAGTCGCTGATAAAGATGTTGAATAGCACAGGTCCGAGGACCGAGCCCTGGGGAACTCCATTGCCCACATCCCTCCAGGTCAAAAATGACCCGTCCACCACTACTCTCTGTGTGTGACCATCAAGCCAATTTGCCACCCATCTGACTGTGTGGGCATCAATACCACAGTCACCTAGTTTTTTTTATGAGAATGGGGTGAGAAACAGTGTCAAAGGCCTTCTTGAAGTCCAAGTAGACAACATCCACCTCAATGCCTGCATCCAAGGACTTTGTGACCTGGTTGTAAAAGGAAACAAAGTTAGTCAGGCAGGATCTGCCTGCAGTGAACCCATGTTGGTTGCCCCTTAATATTACCTCCCATGCTGGGCCCCCACAGATGTGTTTCTTGATAATTTTCTCAAAGGTCTTTCCAAGGACTGAGGTGAGACTATCTGGCCTATAGTTACCTGGGCCCTCCTTTCTCCCCTTCTTGTAAAGGGGGACCACATTGGCCCTTTTCCAGTCCTCTGGGACCTGGCCAGAGCACCACAAGTGCTCATACAGCTGTGCCAGGGGCCCCACTATGACTTCTGCCAATTCCCTCAGTACCTTCGGTTGAAGAGCATCCGGACCTGCTGTTTTATACACGTCCAGCCCCTCCAAGAGTTCCCTAACTAGATTGTTCCTGACCCTAGGCATGGCATCATGTCCCCTGAGCCTTGTGTCCCCTGAGCCTGTCCATAATCCTAATGGGGGAGTTGTCCCGGTCCCTGCTCAGAAATATGGAGGCAAAGAGCTTGTTGAAGAGATCAGCTTTTTCCTTTGCTGCAATCACCAGATTGCAAAGCCTGTCCTGTAGGGGCCCCACGTTACCTTCTTCTTACTTCCTATATATTTGAAAAAGGACTTTTTGTTATCCTTAATTCTGGTTGCCAGCCCTAGTTCCATCTTTGCCTTGGCTTTCCTAACCGCCTCCCTGCAGCAGAGCAACAGAGGTGTAATCCTCCTTGGTGATTGCCCCTTGCTTCCACTGAATGAATGCCACCTTTTTTGCCCTTAGGCCCTCCTGGATGCCTTTACTGAGCCAAGGGGGCTTTTTACCACTCTTGCCCCGTTTGGTTCACATTGGGACTGACTCCCTCTGTACTGCTTGGCAAGCGCATCTGCAGCCCTAATTGGAGGCTTGTCCTACTGCCGCCACAAGTTGCTTCATTGGTGTAAAGAACAAATGTGGCCAGTTAACAAAAAAGCCATTTTCAATCCTTCATATGTGTGTGGGTAGCTTATCCTGATTTCAAGCATACGTAAACATCAATGGTAGAAACTGATTTAAAAGTTTTGCCTGCTGACAGCAGGAGCTTGCACCCTGGGACTAACCATCAATCAGTATACTTAACGCCTACGTTGGCCCTGCTTTCTATGACTGTTTCTATGAACTCAAGGGCGTTTCATAGAGCAGTTGTGGAAAAAATAGCTGTAATTTTTTTTAAGTATTATTAACATATTCTGGGCAAAAAGCAAATATATAAAGTAGAAGGCTCAATTTGGGTGTTTAATTCAGGATTTAGGGTAGATTTGCACTTTATAGACTAATCAAAGTACAGCTCTATGTATAGCAGGAGTTTGTGTGGGCCAATGCTTATATCAGATGCTATGAGAAGAAATTTTGTTCTGTGTGTGTGGTGGGTGTATGTATATATGTGTATATACACATATATACACGTGTGTATGTGTGTGTATATGTGTGTGTGTGTGTACACACACACACACACACACATATATACACACACATAGACACGTGTATATATGTGTATATACACATATATACACGTGTCTATGTGTGTGTATATATGTGTGTGTGTGTGTACACACACACACACAAAAGATGTGTGCCTCCGGCAGCTGGGAAGGGAGCATGGTGGTGGCGGGAGTGTGACAACAGTAAGTGGGGGAGCTCCCGTAGACACCGCCAGCACTGTCAGCCGCAGGGGGGTGGGGATCGCCGACCAAATGTCAGTGACCATCCACAGCTGCCACCAGCAGTGTCAGCGGTAGCCAGCAGGGATCATGGACTGCCACCACTGCCGGTGGTGTTGGCGGTGGGGTGGCAAGTGGCAACTGCCTGCAGGAGCCTTTTCACGGGGGGTGCACCGCCAGCTCAGGGGTGCACGTGCACCTGTGTGCACCCTCTAGACGTCACCCCTGCACACAGAGTATGTAGGTATGTATGTATGTATATGTATACGTGTGTGTATTTATATATGTATGTGTATATATATCCGTATAGTGTGTGTGCCACATGTATATACTACACACCTGCATGTGCACGTGTCTGCACATGCACGCTGATGCTGAGGAGACAGCAGGTGTGTGGTATATACGCGTGGCACAGCTATACCCCAGCTTTCCTCTCACAGCATCCCTGCACAGCGAACCTCAGCTCCCGAACACTGTGCTGCGTCTACATAATGTCCTCTGGCCAGTCCATAAACTGCCTCGAGCTCCGTAAGACTGTCCCCGAGCTTACGAGGCACTGACTGAGCCACCTCCGTCCCGCAGGTGCCGCCTTCCTCACCCGCTCCCTCCCTAACGGGCTCCTGCAAAGCCCCCAGGCGGCGGGGGGGTGGGGAGGCGTTGCTAGGTTACGACGGGCTCGTAGGCGCCAGGACCTCACAAGCAGCTCCCCCGCAGCAGGCGCGTCTGTCAGCTGCTTGGCCTCACGTCACTGACGCTGTGACTGAGGAACCGCCACCCGCGCGCCCCCTCCCGGCGGGGCGCGGAGAGAGCACCGCGCGCCCGCCTGCGCGGGGCCGCGCACGTACGCACCCACGCACGCACGCAGGTGCCGCTGGGGGCGTGTACGCGCATGCGCCAACCGCTTCTCTCCTTGTTCCCGGCTCGGGGGTCGTTGCTGTTAGCGCCATGTTGTTGTCAGCGGCGGTGCGGGCCGCTGCCTCCTTCTCGGTAAGGGAAGCCCGGGGAGGCCGGCAAGGGCGCGGGGGTGTCTGCCTCCGTCCCTCCCTCCCTCCCTCCCACCTCGGGGCTCTGCGCCGCCTGTAGGTCTGGGCGGGAAGGAGGGCAGCACGTCGGGGCGGGAGCTGGTGGCAGAGGGTCAAATCCAGCACTGGCGGGGGAGCGGAGTGGCCCTCTATGGGTGACACACTTGTCAAAAAGGTGGGCCCCCTGCTGGGTTTGATGCCCATGGTGGAAAACCTTGATTTGTTTTGAACTCTGGCTTGTTTTTTTTAACATTTCCTTTTTTTTGTTAGTGGTCAGTGGTTTTGGGGATTAAAAAAACAACAACAAACAACTCTGCAGGAATTACTACTTTTTCCTTGTCAGGATGTCCTAGAGCTGTAGGAGGTTTTTAGGCCCAGGTGCACAAAGCCACAGCTGGGATGATCTAGTTGGGGATGGTCCTGCTTTGAGCAGCGGTTGGATTAAATGGCCCTTCCAACCCTCATTTTTCTATGATTCCAGCTAATGTTTAAGTGTGTTACCAGCAGGTCATGGGAAGTGATTATTTTTCTCTGTTCAGCACTGGTGAGGCCACATTTGTGTTCAGTCCCCCCCCCAAAGGACGTGGACAAGTTGGAGCTAGTCCAGGGGACAGCAGCAAAAATGGTTTGGGGGCTGGGGACATATGACTTCTGATGAAAGGCTGAGGGAACTGGGCTTATTTAGTCTGCAGAAGACATGACTGAGGTGGGATTTAATAGCAGCCTTCAACTATTGAAGGAAGGTTCGAAAGAGGATGGAGCTAGACTGTTTTCAGTGGTGGCGGTTGACAGAACAAGGAGCAATGGTGTCAAGTTACAGCAAGTGAGGTTTAAGTTGGATATTAGGAAAAACTTTCTCACTAGGAGGGTGGTGAAGCACTGGAACAGGTTATCCAGAGAGGTTGTGGAATCTCTACCCTTGGAGGTTTTTAAGACCTGGCTAGACAGAGCCTTGGCTGGGATGATCTAATTGGGGATGGTCCTGCTTTGGGGGGGTTGGACCAGTTGACCTCCTGAGGTCTCTTTCAACCCTGCTTTCCCAATGATTAAATGTCTATGTTTTTAGGGCTGTGTGTGTTGTAAGAGCTAGATAGTGTGATATAAAGAATTATGTAGCTCTTTTTTGCTTTAGTTTCTTTTATTTGGTTTGTTAATTTTTGCTATGTTATATTTTTCCCATATCATAAATGGTGTATGACTTGCTTCTCATTTTAAGTTTTCATTTGTGGCTGGACACTGGAATTCACTGGAGAGTTGTATATAAATAACCTTGTGTGTCTTGGATATGCGTGAAAAAATGTTTATCAGAATTTACCTAGAATTTAACCTCCATATGTTCCCATGGGGCAATTTCCTACCCCAGCTGCATATTTTGTGCAGTATCTTAAAGTTAATTGATTCTAAAAAAAAAATTCTTTTTAGAACACTGTCACTGGCACCACAGTGCACAGTATTCCCAGAGAACAGCCAGCTTACATGAATGGCTTGCTCTTGGTGGATGAAAAACTGCCTAGGGTAACATGTTACCTCAGGTGTGAATGTGTTTTTCCATGTGGGGTAACAACTTACCCCAAGCCCAAGATAATGCATTGGGGTAACTTGTTACCCCCATGAATGCTGTGTGCCCCCAGGGCTGGGGGGGCATGGTGAGCTCCTGCAGGTGGTGGCAGCGCTGTCAGTGGCGGGATCGTGGAGGCGGCAAGCAGGGAGCTCCCACAGGCAGCTGCAGCGGGGGAGGGTGGCGACCACCCACAGACATTGTTGGTGGGGGTGAGCGGTGACCACCTGTAGATGCCACGAGCAGTGTCGCAGGGGGTGCACTGCCATGCTCAGGGGGTGCATGTGCACCTGTGTACCCCTTACACGTTGCCAGTGGTTACCCTAGTGCAACATCTGTATAAATAATAGACCTAGACCTGTTTGGCCACACTGGGTGGATGCTTCTGAAAGGTCAGCATTCATTCATACCTCATTCATGTATACTTGGGGTATCCATGGTAACTAATGGATGCCCATCCTCCACTCTGCTCTTGCAGATGTGGTAATCCCTTTTGCTAACCACTTTGTTTACAGGCTTCAAGATCATCAAAACACCCTGCCCTTTGCCAAAAAACCCCAAACTCTTTGTCACACCCAAATCCACCTCTGATCTCTTTTCTCATGGCAAAACTCTCTGTCTCACCTGCCCCTGTTATAACATACAAGCTAGTTTGCCCTGCCTTTGTTGGAAATGAGGACAAGAAGCAAAGGGACAGCAGAGAAGAAATAGAACAACATCGTAATGCAATACAGCGTACACTATGGAGTCCTCTTCAATGGTAAGGTCTTGACACCCCCCACCATTCCTGTTTTACCTGCTCTCAATAAGCCCCTGCATGGGTGGTTTCCAAACAGCATCCACCCCGGTTTGGCTTGCTTGCAAAGGGTGGATGCTGGTCTCTGGCTTCTGTGCCCAGGAGGAGAGGGTACTACCTGCACTGCCATAAGGTAGGGTGGAATTGCTTCTGTGACAGCACAGCATTGCTTTTGTGATTGCTTTTGGAACAGGCTTGTCTTTGACTGTTATTTATATGCATTCAGCAGTAATCAATTTTTTCTTTTTTTTCTGAGGTCCAGTATGAGACAGCAGTGTATGTTTAATGCTGAAGCCTGTCTTGCACAGGTAACTGGGGATGACAGCAACACATCCACTGGTGAAATCTTATCCCAAGACAGTGAGGATGCTGACTTGATTTCAGACATGGGAGATTGTTCAGAGCAAGAAAACCATATGTCTATGGAAGTTTCATTCAGCTCATATGAGGAGGAATTGATGCTAGAAGTAGAAGTGATGTCAACACTTCCAGTGGGAAAGGAAAGAGGACTAGCCCAGGGCTGCCATGGAAGACTGAGAAGACCTGCAGCAGGATGTTGAGCAGAATTACTGCCACCACCCTCAGAAAACATGGCAAATGATGGTACCTTTAGAGGAAGCAATAGCAGTGTGTGGAAAAAAAGTCCATAGCTAATACATCATTGGAGAACAGCCAAGGATATAGTCCATGGAAGTGCTGGGCCAACAAGAGAAAGTAATAAAGACACAGTGGTGGAAACGTTACACCTGTTTGTCTCACAAGATATCCTGACTGTTGTTATAAGAAAAACAAACAGAGAAGCAGAAAGAAGATTCAGGGAGTGGAATCATAGCCATCCTGAAAATAGAAAGGAGCTGAAAGCCTACATTGGCCTCCTACTGCTGAGTGATCTATACCAGTGGTCTCCAAAATGGGGTGTGTGAGACGATCCCAGGGGGTGTGCAAAGAAAATATTAGAACTTGTATTTTTATTTATTTTTTATTTAAAAAAATAAGAAAGAAATTAAGCTTTACTAATATTTAATATACAGATTGACACTGGTGCCCTCACTCAGTCCGTATGTCGGACGGTCACGTCACGTACGGTATGTGAGGTATCCTGAGGGAACAAGTGTTCATTCGTTTTCAGTGTATTGCGATGAATTGTAGTTTACGTGTGCCTGGTTAAGTGGATTTACAGATTTATATTATCTAGTTTTAACTAAACTAACCCTCACAAAATAGACAAGTGGCTTAAAAAGATTCCTGCAAAGAAACCGCGGATTCAAGATAATACACTTGATCTGAGCCTTTAATGCGAGCACAAGCAAACAACAAGAAAATGGCTGAGCTGACACTTCTCCTACTCCTAGTATAAGCTCTTCATCAGACACATTACGAGGTAAAAACAATGACGATTTAATTTCTATTTTTTGTGTATGTTTTATAATGTACATAATATATTAGTACAGTAGTACATGTATATAATTTATAAATAAATAAATATACATATATTGGGGGTGCGTGCTCAAAAATTTTTTACTGATAGGGGTGCGCGAATATAAATATACAGATATTGGGGGGCTGTGCTCAGAAATTTTTTACTGATAGGGTTGTGTGATCAAAAAAATTCGGAGACTGCTGGTCTATACCACAGTGGTCACGGGGCACTGGAGGAGTTGTGGGAGCAACGCGCTGGGCATCCTTGCTTCCCTGCCGCCATGAGTTTAAAATGATTCCATCAAATCACCGACTACCTGAGATTTGATAACAAACTGACGTGAGGAAAGGGGAGCTGTGAACAAACTTGCTGCCTTCAGAGATATTTGGACACAATTTGTGGTGCAGCTCAGGAAATGGTATATTCCAGGAATACACCTGACGGTTGATAAGCAGCTCATTGCATTCAGGGGTTGCTGTCCCTTCAGACAGTATATGCCCAGTGATCCTGCCAAATATGGCTTGAAAATTTGGTGGTGCTGTGATGCAGCCAACATCATTCTCCCTCTCTGGAGACATCTGCCTGGCCAAGCAACCAGAAGCTCCACACCAAGGTAATCTTGGTACCCAGGTTGTTGAAAACTGGTTCATTCCTGATACAAGATGGGAAGGAATATTGTGGCTGACAATTTCTTCACAAATACTGACCTGGCAGAAAGACTGTTACAGCAGGACTTGACCTATGTGGGTACGATTCGGAAAAACAAGGCCGATATCCCAAGTGAAACGCAGGCAAATCGAAGAAGGGAAACTTTTTCATCCAATTTTGCTTTTGATGGGGAACTTGCCCTAGTTTCCTATATTCCAAAGAAGTCCAAAGTTGTGCTGATGCTGTCAAGTATGCACCATGACCTGTCAGTAAGTGGCGAGCAAAGAAAGCCGGACATCTTCCACGACTAAAATAAAAACAAGGGTGGGGTGGTGGATAACCTTGACCACTTAGTCTGTATGACTACCTGCAGATGGAAAATCAACAGATGGCCAATGACACTGTTTTTCAACATGCTGAATGTGGCTGCCATTGCCAGCCTCATCATTTGGCTAGGCCACAATGCAAACTGGAAGCAAAGATCACCTTTAAGAAGATGGCCCCTTTTTTTGCAGAAGCTTGGAGAACAGTTGACTGATGGAC